AACAACAACAACATATTAATAACTGACTAGAAAGACCCCTAATGGTGTGAAAGGGCCAAGGCAATATTGGGGAAGATCTTACTGACTGCCAGACCTGTTAATAAAGTGTATGGATAAAGGCAATTTCATCTAGTTACTTAAGTCTGCAGAAAGGGCCTAGGGACAAGATGTACCAGAGGTAACCACTAGAGTTCTGTTGTAGGCCCAGAGCTGTAATTTCTGTATATCATTCCTGAGATTCAAGATCTTAGTGCAAATCATGGATTTCTAATTGTTATGTTCGTCTTGCTAAATAGAAATTATCTGAAGCTTCTTGTGTCATAGGAATGTCTTTTATCTTTAATGCCCATTCTGAATTTTTCAGTTGCTGTTTTTGTTTAGGTTGTATAGATGTGTGTGTGTTTTCCTTATCTATGACACCTTTCTGTTTTTAAGTTATGTTTTTCTGGGAAAAATACATGGATATGTCTTGGTATCCAAACCTTACTTGGATATCTTGGGGTCCCAAGTACATGGGCAGAAATTATAGAAATGCCTTTCTTTTTTTTATTTCAGACAATTCTCCCATGAATTCCTTTCTAACCTACTGATAGAATGTGCCTTGTTTTGATTCTTATCAATGGTTATTTTCATGAATGTTGTTTATTCATTGTGTAGTACCTTATCCATCCAGATCCTATACCTCTGTCTGTATGTCCTAACCATTTTTTCCTCAACAGCATCCACCTGTGAACAAAAGTTACCAATAGATGGATATTATGCCAGATTTTAACCTTTCATTCCTACCCTGACTTGCTGCAAGGATGGCTCTATGCCTCCCGAGGGAATTCTAAGGTACAGTGTATTCTAAATATGCACTGGCCTGTAAGTGAATATAAACCAAATAGTAGAGCTAATACTCCCTTGGTGTAAATTAACAATATGCAAGAGTATTTAATAGGAAAGAGTGAGGTATACCACCAGAACAGAAACAGGGAAGGATCTTGCTTTAAGATTGCCCTCTTTGCTAATATTGACCTTGGGACCAACTGAAATCTCCAGCTTTACTGAAGTCTGCCATCATACATTTTTGTGCAATTAAGTCTCTGAGAAAAAGATATAAGAATTTTTTTCTCTATTGTAATTCTAGTGAAAGATTACAAAGAAAATTCATTTTTCATTCAACATTACCTATACATTTTATTTCATAACCTTAACTACAATACTCACACTGTAATTGTGATTCTCATTTTAACTACTGCTTCTGTCTTAACTCTTCCTGCCTCAGTGCTTTATCCTCTGGTAGACACTGTCCTTTTGATTTTCTATGTTGGTTATTCTAAAGAGTGAGTAGTTGCTGTCTAGGTCCATTGTTTGACTGAATGTTGAGCCATAGGTTGATTGTGACTACATGTTCAAAGTGTAGTGAAGGATCAGGATTTTCATCTCAGGAGTTCCACCAGTCTCTATTGGATCAGTCAGGTTGGTCTTTATTTTTTATTAAAAAAATTTTGTTTTGCTTCATATTTTATCCTGTGGTTCCTTTTGACGTTGTCAGTGGTAGTGACCCCACACTCTTTAGTTTTTCTGGTCTCAAGAATAGAATTTTAGGCTCCAATGGTCCATTCATCCTTTGAATATTTTTTTTCTGTACATCTTTGCTCCCTTTTCTTATTTGTTCCACAGGGAGCAACAAATATCGAGTTGCTCTAAAGTTTTTAAGAACTCAGTTGCTACTCACAAAAGTAAGACCTAGAACACTCTTGGTGCCCTATGCCAATTGACCTTGATGTCCCATAAAACTATTGTCTCATGATCCTAGAGCCAGCAATTTATTCCCTCAGGATATTTGATTCTGATTAAGAAACTTACACACAGCAAAAAGCAGGTGCTTGTTTTTGTTTTTTTTTTTTTTAAATCTACCATAGTTGAAAGGGTCAGCTTACTTCCATTTTTTTTATCATCTCTAAAATGAAATTGTTTTCTCCAAGAATATCAAGTGCTTCATAAACTACTGAGTTCAAAAGACATTGTTGTTAGGTGCCACTTAGCCAACTATGACTCACCATGATTCTATAGACAGGTCTGAACCTTGTCCTACCCTGTGCCATCCTCCTGATCTCTGACATGCTTAAGCCCATGTGTCTATCCATCTTGTTGAAGATCTTTCTTTCTTTCTCTGAGTCTTTATCTTTCTGAGAGAGATGTCCTATTCCCAGGACTACCCCCTCCTAGAAACATGTTCCAAGTATATGAAACAAACTTTCATCACTTTTGCCACTAAGAACACTCTGGTTGCATTTCCTCCAGGTCAGACTTTTTTGTTCTTTTGACAGTTCATGGGATATCCTGTATTATTCTTTAACATCACAATTCAAAGGTATCATTTCTTCTTCTTCTGTCATCCTTATTCATGGCCCAACTTTCTGATGCGTAGTAAATAATTGAAAAGATCATAGGGTTGTTCAGTTAGGCTTTAGTTTTGTTGAACTGACACTTTTGCCCTTTTACATTTTGGAGAGGTCCTTGACAGCATATTTTCTCAGTGTGACACACCTTTTGATTTCATAACTGTTGTTACCATAGATGTTGATTGTAGATCCTAGTAAAATGAAATTGTTGGCAATGTCTGTCATTTTTCTATTTATAATGATGTTGGATATTAGTTCAGTAGTGAGGATTTTTGTTTTCTTGATCTTGAGATGTAATCGTATTGAAGGTTGTAATCTTTGATCTTCTGCAATGTTTCAGGTCCTCATCACTTTCATCAAACAAAATTGTGTCATCTGCATAATGTAGGTTGTTGATGAATCTTCCTCCAATCCTGATGCCATGTTCTTCTTCAGCTTCTCAATTGATTTGTTCATCAAAAAAGTTGAATAGTTGTAGGAAAAGGATATAACCCTGATGTACACATTTCATGATTTAAATCATGCAATGTTCCCTAGGTTTGTTCAAACAACAGCTTGTTGATCTATTTATAGGTGTTATCATAGAGATTTATTGTTTAAAATGGCTTCCATAGCCATTTGACTTTGACTTTGACAGGTGGGTACATGGGAATATGTGAATAATGTGTGCCAGCCTATTCATAAGGAGATTGGCTTGTCTCACCATTAAATTGAGATGATCAAGCATCAGAATGGGGGAAAACTCACCACTAGTAAAGAACAGTCAAGTGAATGCAAGGCATATTTCAGGACCAGAGATTCTTGTGCCAGCCAAATTATGGCCTATGGGAGCAGCAGCCATAACATCCAGAGACCCAGAGACCTGACATGAGACAGAGTGGCCTTTGGGACTGCTACATCATTGAACCAGAGCTAAAAGCTTTGCCCAAGTTTGCTGGAGGACTTGTAGTAGTGGAAGGGGAAGCCTAAATTGGCAGGACTGAAAGCTTTGTGACACTGGCTTAAAACTGCGAGGCTCAAGGCTGAGTTACCTGTGTGCACATTTTGGAAGCTATCCTGGTACCTTTTGATGCCTCCATTATGGTACTGTATGGTCTGTGAACAATTACATCAGATTTTGGACCCAATAAAGCAGTAATATTGGTGTTGGGGTGAGTATAAAGATGTGTGGGGCATGGAATAAATGTCTGACCTCATGGAAATTAATTTTGTGTTGTTGATGTTGTTGATAGGGACAATTCTCCTTTACGATGTTGGTAAAGGTCAGATAAGGCCATTCATTTGAGGCCCTGGATCTTTTTACAGTTGTGTCAGAAACAAGATTCCTTGGATCCAATCTCAAGGAAGTATGGGATTTTCTAAGCGCAGGAGAGGAAGACCTCAGATGAGATAGATTGATACAGTATCTCGAGCAATGAGACTGGCTCAGGACAGGGAAGGGTTCAGAGCAGCTGTACATAGAGTCCCTATACGTTGCAGGTGACTCAATGGCACATAACAACAAAAACATACTGTATTGGTTATTTTTATTTAAGACTCTTTTTTATAGTCAACACAACCTTGGGGAGGGCCTTCATATTTAAAGTCAGTTGTTATTATATTTTGAAGGAACATTCTTCTAAATGATGCAGCACTCTTCTGTCAATATGCTGTACTGAGGTAACCTGGTGTTGCTGTGATGTTGATTCTTGTACCACTGGGGTGTCAAATGGCATAATGGTTACCCATGGGGGACAGTATTTGGTGGAGCTCCCACTTTAAGATAAGTTTGGCAGCAGGAGTAACATTCACTTCATAAACAACATGCCTCTGGAAACGTTATGAAATGATGATAGTTATAGAAAGGCTTCAGGTCTTTTGTTCAACTCAACAGCAATCAACAACAACAATAACAAGTTAGGAGCTTGGGAAGTACAGCTAAAATGGCTAGTTTTGCTGCTAGTAAAAATGGAAAGAAAAATTAAGCAGTTTTAGTCTGAGGCAAAGGACAAAGGCCCCAGGCCATATACATATGAATGAGATATATTAAAGATAAAGAATAAAGTTGATATTGATAAATCCTTGAAAGATTTATGTGCTAAAGTTTTTAATGATTTATCTTTAGGAATATTGCTATTTGTTTCTTCTATATAGTAATGTTAAGTGATACTGTATAAATTATTAAAGTTTTTCTTGATGCAATGTTAAGATATATGATATAAATGAATACTAGATATTGTAGATCTTGAAATCATATAATTTTGCATTTGGTCAGTAATTGGATATGCTAAAAGGGGAAAATTTGCTCTAAAATATCCTTGTTGAAAATAGTAAAGTTTGCAAGAGGGCATGAGGCTTAGCCTGGAGGAGGATAAGCTCTACTCTGAGGGGATTTGCATTTGAGTGGATTTGTAGACCCTCCTTGGATTTTTTATTGGAAAGATTTAAATTTGGAAGAGAGAAAGAGAGAGAGAAAAGTGGGGGGGGGGGAGATTGACTTTGAATAGTTAAAATTGCTGTAAGCATTTTCACATCTGAGATTAAAGACTTGAAGTTAAAGGGAATTTTAGTGACTTCCTTTCATTTCTACCTTTTATCCAACAGTTTAAATGCTGTGGCTTGATAGATGGAGCTGCTGATTGGGGAAATAATTTAAAAAAATACCTTGATTCATGTAAATGTAAAGATACACCAGCTACACCTTGTAAAGAGTTTGACGGAGAATCTGTTTATACAAAGGTAAGAATGAAATCAAATTAAGAAATGTAAGCAATTCTGTTATTTTTTTCACAATAAAAGTTATTACAAAAATTAAAATCATGGCAATAACATTGAGAACCAAGTTATCAATATCACTGGAATTTCAGTAGATACATATGTAAATATTTCTATATCTTTAAGTACATATTTAATATTTATTATTTTATTAAATAAATTAATTAATGTATGAGTATATTTACATCATTCTTAATCTAATTTTTCCTATGATCTGATATCTTTAAGCCCAATTTTAATGGGTCAAAGAAATGTTCTACTACAAAAGTAGACAAGTACAAGAAAATAGATAAGGTTTTAATTTTACCCTCTTTGGAGACCCTATTCACTCTTTTCCTCTTTTTTTATTAAAAGCTCTATGATAAATCAACCTGCTTACTTTTCAAACATTGAGATATTTTTTTCAACTGAAGTTTCATTTTCTGACTAATTTTATTATAGTATAGAGAAAGGATTTGATTTTTGAGAATTTAAGCTCAAAATAGTAAATGTATCTGCCAATTTGCATGGTTATTGCTCTGATGAAGTATTTACTTCTGTTAATTAAGGCAACTGAAAAAGTTGCATTACCTCTTCTCTGTTGCAGGTTTAAAACAAATTTTTAGATGTTATAATTCGTGTATTTATTATTCTTTAACTCATCATATAGTTATTGATCTCCTCCTATGTGCCTTATAGACTTATAGCATTAGAGATCCATCACTATGTCTTCATGGAGCTGACACTTAAAAAGGAGTGAAGGGATCATTGCTAGGCAACTTTAGACTAACGAATTGCCAGCATTGCTAAAGTAGGGGTTGTAGGGGTCAGCACCATGAATTCTGGAAGCCGATCTAACTCAGTTTTCCTTCATGGCATGAAATCAGTCTTCCATCTCAGGGCTTTAGTAGACAATTTTTTCTGCCTGGAGGGAATGTATTTAAAACATGACAATTGCTATTAGTGTTTCATTCACTCATTACCATTCTTATTTCAAACAGATCCTTGTTGGAATTGGACATGATTCTGGATCCCAAAACAAATTGTAGTCTAGTTGGGAGAGAAAGAGATAAAAGTCATTTTAATTCACAATTACTCTAATACTTTAAATTTCTTTTCAATCTCATATTTATTTTTCCCTCCATTTTCTTAGTAATGCCTTCTAAGTTTAGTATATAAAAGGAAATAGAAAATATTTCAAAGGAAGCTTCCTTCCTCAGGATCATTCATATCCCTTTCATTAATCTTGCAACCATTAGAGAGGCATTTTTCTGAAGAGAAATATCTCCTGTCACTAATCTTTAAAGTAACTCCTGAGGGATAAGTTATTTATCAGACTGTGCTCTGGTAGCCTAATGTTAAGAACTGTGATGCTTCTCAAAGACACCAAAGTTCCAACAACCGGCTGCTCCATGGGAATAAAATGGGCACTCCCCTCCCATGCCAATAACCGCCTCTGGAAACCCCTTGGAGGGCCAGCTATGGGTCAGATCTGACTTGAGAGCACACTAAGACCACCACCACAACACGGTCAATGTAATATAGTTAAGAAATTTTTATTCTTATATTTACTATTCCTTCCAGTTTTCCTCCTTACTAACTAATTTTAAGATACAATATTCACAAAGAGGGAAAAGAAATGAGATGTACCTGCGTGGTTTCTTGTTAAGATAATGAAAAAAATTAGTAAATTTAGTTACACATTGACATTTGTTTTCTGTAAGAAAGTCAAGTATGTTTTTCCTCAAGATGAATTTTGAAAACTCTTAGTATTATCCTAAAAAAATAATGGGTATTCCCTTTAAGATCACATGTAATTTAACTGAATATCACTCTTCTAAAAAGAAAACTATAAATTAATAAAATATTTCCTGCCTAGTGTTATTTATAAAAATCTGGAAAAACAGTTCAGTTTTTGACTTCTGCAGTTCACATCACCTACCTCCCAGCTCCTACTCTTTTGGCAAGATAACCTGGTTGCCTAGTGGCTGGAGCAGGAGAGTGGCAGAAAAAGACTCAAATAGAATGAATGCTGTTCAGTAAATATAGCTATTAATCTTGTAGTTAATCCTATCTGGTGAAATAGTCTTAATCTAATATGAATGGAGGAACTCAGTATATCCAGGAATGAAGAGGCAAACACTAAGTCAGCTTTATGGAGAGCTTGTTCTTATTTACACAAATGACAATTTTCTGTTAGCCTTTAGAACATATGTGATTATTGTAAAAAAGAAATCTTTTTAGCAATGAAAACAATACCACTATCATATTGTGAAATGTCTTTCAATTTTTAAGTTATCCTTATACTTTGTAGTTGCTAGATTTTTTTTTTTAGTTCTAGTCTAAAATGTTTTAGAGTTGGAAATACATGCTGACTTGAATATATTACAAGAAAATGTGAGCCAGTGGCAATATTTCTCAATTTGCTTTTCTATCTATAAAGACTTAAGCATGGATCCATGATTTTTATCTTTTAAATAAACCATGCAACACTGTTAAATATTATTAAGGGATTAAGAAAAAGGTTAAAAGAAATTTATAATATTTTTAACTGCATCTTTGAAAACTTCCTGCTTCAGATTATAAATTCAAAAAATAAAATGACAAGATAATTTCAGTTCTAAAAACAAATTATCTGAAATGAGGATGAAGTTTTTATATATACTCGAAGATCCATAGATTTAGCAATTAGATGATGAAATAATGCTCTTCAAGTGATTTTCTAGTATATAAACAAACTATAATAGGTAAAATTTTGGGGAGAAAGCAGCATGCAGGAAATAACCCTACTCCTTTTATAAAATGTATTCCTTGTTAGCAATTTAGAAAATTAAT